TTGTTTATCTGGAGACAGAGTCTCACTATGTAGCTCTGGTTGTCCTGGAACTCACTATGTAGACCAGGCTGGCCTTGAACTCACAGAGATGAACTCACAGAGATCCATCCGTCTATCTCTGTCTCCTAAGTACTGGGATTAAAGGCATGGGCCACCATGCCTGGCTGAGAATGGCACTCTTAGATGTCCCCATTAGTCATTGATCAGCCAGTCTAGAGGAACAATCCAGGCTTCTAGATTCCAGCTGTCCAGTGATTGAGTGAGACTTCACAACCTTGAAGATAGCTACCATTGAGAAGGCTTCTACTCTGAGCCACGAGGAAGTTCATGTCCCCAGATGCCTTCATTCTCTGCTCTATGGCCTTGGAAGAGTCACTTGCCCTGAGCCTGTTCCTCACCTGAGTAGTGAGGAACAGCAGAATGTTAGAGAAAATGGGTGTGGTAGCTGCCCAGAGATATCCTGGGGCCATTGGTGGCTACAGCTGGGCAAAAGCCTTGACAAAGAACAGGGACAATTCCTGTTGGCAGCCAAACCTAGGCCCACCCACTTTGGCCTCTCAAACCTCAGCCAGGGCCAGCCCCAGAGGACAGAGGGGTAGCAGATAGGTGTGGCTCAGAGCTTCCCATACAGAGGACCTTGTGCCATGGGAGGTACCAGACCCATTTTAGAGCTGAGTACAGTGAGGCCAAGACCCCTAAGCTGGGCCTGCACCACAGAGCTTGCTGGGATGCTGCTGTGAGGAGGGGTGCAGACGTGTCTCCTATGGGAGATCAGGGCCTTCCTCGTGTTCCCAGCCCCTCGGTCTCACTGGGCAGACAGTCCCTGGGATCACAGCCACAGTCCAGGTAGCCTCTGAGACCAGGCTAGCAAGAGGCAGCAATGGCAGCCTGAGAGTGAATTCAGCTGGAGAGAGCACAACCCATGTGACAGCCTCATGACCTGGAACCCACACTTACCGTGCCTCGATTCCTTATCCGTACTTGAGGAATGGACACCTACTTCCAGGAGTGTGGCTGCAACAGGGACACCATGTCGCTCCCTGGACTGATTGCCTGGAGAGGGTTTGTCCTCACACAGTCAGCACTCAGGGGCTTCCTTCCTGGAGCTGGGGCAAGCATGTAGCCCTAAGCAGTGCCAGCCCCCCCCCAACCTGGCCTCCACTCAGCCTTTTCCAGCCCTTGCTGACCCTCGTATCCTCAGGCAACAAAATTATATCACTTTTAGTCGGAAAGTGGTAGGTAGGATCAGGAATGAGATGCAGCAGGAGAACCATAGGCAATCCCCAGGGAGAACGTCAACTTCATTCCTTGGGACACATTTCCTTGCCCAAACACTGCCAGTGGGAACCTCGGGAAGTATACAGGCACAGATGATCACCTGGTTACATTGTTCCAGAGGGGTGACTCTTAGAGACTGAAAATACTGTCCCCTGTTATTTGTCATAGGTACCCTCAGCCCCCTTTATCCTGGCTTGGATAAAGTCTCAAGCCTCCAGGAAGGAGGGAAGACAGCCCAGGTCACCCCATGCCCACTTCTTCACCGTGTCTCACGCCAAATCCTGAGACTGTGTGTGGCATCATTCAGGCTTCCTACTGCATTCCCAGAGCCAGCCTAGGGCTCTAGTCTCATCACCACAGATAAGACAACTGGGAGAGCCAGGCAGCACAGCCAGTATGAAGGCACCCTGGGCTGTCACACCAGGTGCTGGACTTGTGGAAGGCAGGTGTAGCCTCCTCAGTGAACAGATGTCCACACCAGACCCTATGAGCAGCTGTCCTAGAGCAGGATCCACTATAGGATCCTCACTTGGAGTTCCCGGGACCACTGAGCCCAACCTCACCTCTGCATGGCAGAGAATCTTCAAGATGGCAGTGGGAAATGGTGTTGGGGCTAAGCTTGGTATTGACAGTAAGAAGTGAGCTGTGTGCCAAATCACATGCTCCTTGCCATTGGGTACGTCTAGACACAGGGTTAACCCTATGCTCCTGGTGCCTAAGAAGTATAAGTGACTGGCATGCGCCTTGGAGAGCCAAATCATGACCTTAAGCTGTTGCAGCGCTCACTCTGGTCAGAGAGGGCTTCCTAGAGATGTTGGTGCCTGATCTGAAGGCTGGTCCTGGGAAGCTGTGTGGTTAGCTGAGGAGCCTGGGTGCAGAGTCACTGAGTAAGGTTCCAGCAGGCTGGTGCACAGCTGATGTGTGGCTTCTGGGTGGGCAAAGCATCCACTCTCAGGACCAGCATCATGCCTGTGTAGCACAAAGGGATGAGGAGAGGGTGGCTGGTACCTGGCCTTGCCCTATGCCAGCTCTCAGCTATTTGGGCAGCAGTGTGGTCCTGCCTTCAAGCAGGAATCTTGCCTTCCCCACTGCTCCTCCTTGTCATCTTGGACAACATTATTGTGTCCCCCTCACACACTCCCTTATCTCCCTCCTGCTAAAGGATCTCAAATATGCACCCTGATAAGGCAGCACAGACCCTGCTTCCCAGCCCCTTCCCAATGCAGGCCTCTACTTTCCCCAGAGTAATTAAGATAAATGCAGCCGATAATGTGCACCGTACTCTTAAGCATACCCTCTGGGCCACATCTCAGATATAATTTTACCTGCAGAGGTTTATCTGAGTGCTCGGGTAACAGTTTGTAAGGAAAGCGGCAGCGTTTGAAGAAACAGGAAAGGGGAATCGCTGAAAGAAACATCAAGGCACTGCATCTACAGTCCCTCTCCCCCCCCCTCCCCGACACTGGGCAGCCCAGGCAGCTGAGAGAAAAGGAATGCCCCACCCCTCCAGGGATGCTGGGGCCAGCTGGGGATCTGGGGCTTGAATCTCTCCTCTGGTTCAAAAGGGTCCTGGTCTGCTGAAACTCACACCAACACTACAGCACCCAGAGGCTTTGCCAGGAGCCCAGGCAGGGGAGACCCATCCTCATGCTGCCTATGGTTCTTGCACCTGGACTTGGGAGTCAGGGTTGGTGCTCTAGCCCTAGGGTGCTGATGGCAGAATATAGGTACAAAGACCAAGGACAGTGTAGATTGAGTTTTGCCACTGGCTGAACAAGTGGACCTGGGACCATGTTTTGGAAAGGTGGCTCAGTGGTTAGAAGCACTGGTTCCTCTTCCAGAGGTCCTGAGTTCAATTCCCAGCAACCACATGGTGGCTCACAACCATCTGTAATGAGATATGGTGCCTTCTTCTGGTATGCAAGCAAACATGTGGGCAGAACACTGTACACATAAATAAATCTTTAAAAATTTGTAAAACAAACAAACAAAAAAAAAATCTGGGACCAGCCAGGATGGGAAAGGATCAGGTGCTGAGACAGGGACTCCAGGCTTTGTTGGGTGTAAGAAACAGTAAAGGAAGGATACATTCTGCCTGCATTTATATGACTGCTTGATAGTGTTTCCACTGTGTCATCTTAGGCAAGTCACAGACCTCTCTGAGCCCTGATTTCTGCCATCTATAGCTGTTTGCTTCCTATTTTTATAGTAATCTGGAAGCCCCTAATCAGCCACACCTCAAGCCTGCCTGGCACAGCATCTGATGCAGGGACAGACTAGTGGATGAAGGAGGATGAAGGAGGATGGATGGATGGGTGAAGGATGATGGGTGAATAGATGGATGGATGGGTGGATGGATGGATGGATGGGTGGGTGGGTGGATGGATGGTGGGTAGACGGGCGGATCAATGGTAGGTGGGTGAATGATAGGTGATGGATATTGGGTGGGTAAATAGAGTTCTGCATGGCCCCCAGCCAGTCTCCACCTCTTCTAGCCTCTGTTGCCCTTCTCAGAAAAAGGCCTCAGCCAATCCCCTCAAGTCTGCAGCTGTGAGGAGGCATGTGTCCCTCTTGGGCATGCACCATCAAGCAGCCATCAGTTGGCACTTCAGCAACAGCAGCCTGAGATAGGTTCCTAGGGCCTGGTTATCTCAAGAATCAGGAGTGTAGGTGCATCTGGTGTCCCACAGGTTGCAACCCAATGTCCTTGGTGGTCACAATCTCATTAGAGGCTCAGCTGAGGCCAAACCCACCACCTAGGTGGTTGCTCACATGGCAGGCCTCAGCTCCTTGCCATGTTTTCTTTCCAGGTGGTCTCTCTATGTCATTCCCCAAGTGTGCAGTCAGAGTCTGGGGTATGGCCTGTGCAGGAGAGTCCAGTACACTCACTGCCACCAGGATTTGTCCCTTAGCAAGTTGCAATGTTTAGGCTGCAGTGATGAGGTCAAATGATACATGACTATTACATGTTTTTTTTTACATTTATGTATTTAGTTTGTTTGTTTGGGGAGGAGTACATGCCACAGTACATATGTGAAGGTCAGAGGACAACTTTTATAGGAGTTAGTTCTCTCCTTCCACCATGTGGGTCACAGGAATCAAACTTGAGTTAGCAGGCATGGTGGCAATGCCCTTACTTGATCAGCCATCTTGGCAGTCCCTGTCTATATTTAAAACTACACAGACAACATCTCTCCAAATTAGGAATCCTGAAAGATGCCCCTTCAGGTCACCTTCGCCATGTGCAGAAGCCTGAGTAAGAGGCTGCCCAGCATCTCTGAGGGATCGTGACCTGGAGGCAGCCATGTTGGGGTACTTAGGAGTAGACTAATGAGATCTTTATGTGGAGTGCCCTGGAGTAAGTGTGTACCAGCGCTCACGTGCAGTGACAGCAAATGAGGAGCAAAACGCCAAGCAGGGGCACCCTCAGGAGCAGAGCACACAGGGGGGAATGCTGATCTCGAGGTCGTTTGAAACCATGGCACTGGGCAGGCTTGAAGCCTGGGGACTGGCAGCTCCTGGGGTGTGCAGTAGAAGCTAGAGCGCAGCTGTGGCAGAGTGTCTTGCACCTCCCACCCCACAGTGGCTGTCACTTACTGTCTCTGCTTCGAGACACGTTGGAGAGAGGCAGTAACTCTCTTAGGGCTCTTCTCTCATGCACCAAAGATCCTCCGGGGGAAACATCACCCCAGATTTTAACATACTGTCCTCTCTCTTTGCAGCCAAGAAGGTCCTGTTCCTTAAGCAATTGGTCAGAAACCCAGTGAGGGGCTCCAGGTCCCCAGGTATGTGATGTGTACAGCTAGAATGCATATGGGGAGCCACTACCACTGACTGGAGGAGGTGCCTTGTCCCTCAGGCTCCCTCCACCCCAGCATACTGCTCTTGTCCCCTCCTCAGACAGTAATTGGGGATGCCAGCTGGCTAGCCTTCTCCTGAGCCAGGCCATCTGACAGGCAGTTTGAAACCGTAGCTGTGAGCAGGGTAAATGGCAGCTTCACCTGGGACCTAACAGACCATCAGCTCTGACAGCTCCTACAGTCTGTAGTGGCTAGGGCACAGCTGTAGTAGACTGACCTGCACCACCCACCCACCAGGGGAGCTCAGTTCTGCCCTAGGGTGCCTTCCTGAAGCCAAGAAGTTCATCAGGAGCCCCACATCCTCCTCAGCCCTCAGCGAGGGCCCCTGTTCTTATGCAGTAGTGTCACTCACCAGGTAGGGGCTTCATGGGGGACCCTGGATGTTTATGTTCCCTGCCACCTAGTCCCTGAGAGCTTCTGGACCCAATGTGATATGGCTGAGTTCTGCAAGAGACTGGGAGGTGCCCCTCTGGAGGGCCAACTCCATTCACTAGCAGGGAGTCCTTGGGAAAGTTGCTGGGGTTCCTAACTCATAATCAGAGGTGACAGAAGCAATTCTGAGTGTCTGAGCCCATGAGGACAGAGGAGTCACATTCAGCAGTTCGGTGCTGGAATTAACACCATCAGCCCCATTACATAATCAGTCAACAAACAAGTCTTCCCCAAGGATCCAGTTGCCCATCACAGTGGGGACCAGAGAAGGGAAGGAGGCCCTCCTCCACGTGGTTAGGCTGGAGAGGAAACTAGATGTGGCAGACGAAGTCCCACGTTGCCCCTGCCTGCCCCCTCACCCCAACCAAGTCAGCCAGATCTCTAGTCTTCTGTGGTTGCTTCCCAGCACGCATGGTATGCTGCCCACTGCTGGTGAACACTGGAACTTTTCCTACCCTGAAGCTCTGGGACGGGCCTGCTTTTCATGCCCAGCAGGTAGCTATTGGGACTCCTCTGCAGAGAGATGTGGTCTTCTCTGATGTTCAAATCCCTCCCCTTTCCCACTTTCTCCCTCCCTTTTCACCACACCTCCCTAGTATCCCTGGCTCTCTTTGTCAGAGATCCTGCTGTCCAAGACAGTCACACTCTTTTCTGAGACAAGGACTTCTGTGATAGCCACACAAATGGTTGCTGCTTCTGGCCCAAGATTCAGTCACAGTAAATCTGCAACTCATGTGTGCCCTTTACTTGCAGGCTCCACACAGGACAATGAGTATAGGCTTCCCTGAGCCCCGCCAGGGGGTGAGGATGGCCACCCAGCCCATTACCCGGGCTCCTCCGCCAACCACGGCATCCTCCTAGCACTCGGGACGGTGGGGCCATGCCAGGAGAGCGGCCCCCAACTCTGCCCAGAGACTTGCAGCCCTGCCAAGTTGCCAGCAGCCTAGGGGGGCCCTCTCAGCACCCTCTCAAGGACCACAGCTCTGCCAGCAGGACCACGCAGGGCATGAGAGATGAAGGCAACAAGGCCCAGGCCCAAGGTTCCCCTGAAGCCCAGCTGAGTCAGGCGAAAGAGGTGAAGCCAGAGGACCTGCTACTGAGAAGGGAGGCCCCAGCGGGACAGAGCTGTGTACAAGCTTACTCATGGCTGGCCAGCAGGATGGAGAGCAGTCACCCACAGCTGCACAACCTAAGCACTTCGAGGATCAGATGCATCCTGGGTGAGCCACCTAAGGACCTACAACATGAAGCCCCCCAAGTGTCAGAGACCAAGGCTCCTCGGCTTCAAAAGACCAGAGCCCACTGCAGACCCAGCATTCCAAGGGGCGAGGCCCTGCCTTCCCCAGAAGAGAATGGCTCCCAAAGGTGCTTTCAGGAGGCCCCTTCCAGCTTTACCTCCACCAACTGTACCTCACCAAGTGCCACCCCTGGGACCTTGCCACAGAGGACCCCCCAGAGCAGTGGCACCAGCCCCCATAGGCCTGCTTCTGGCCCTAACGTCCAGGCCATTGGGACCAACCCCTGGCCTCCTGCTGCTGAAAACAGCTTCCCAGGTGCTAATTTTGGGGTCCCCTCTGGAGAGCCCAAGCCCTTCCCTGAAGGTAGCAAGCCTAGCAGCCCCCAGGGGGTCTCTGTCCGCTACCCCTTCCCTGTAGAAACAGCCCAACATGAGCAAGCAGCTAGGACAGTGTTGTATACCTTCCACCAGCCCCTGGTAGCATGGTCTGAGGAGGCCCTGGGTACAAACCCTGCCTACCCATCCCTGCCCTGCAACCCAGGCCAGTCTGGGGGAGCCAGCACTCCCAGTGATCTTGGAAGTGCTCTCTCCCCTCCTGGAGCTGCTCACTTGGTCCCAAGCCCCTTCCATGACAGTTTGCACAAGAGCCTGACCAAAGGCCTTCCTGAAGGCCCCCCTCCTATTCATGATGGACTGGGAAACCCCAGGGGTCCCCCAAACCCTCCACCTCAGAGGCACTTTCCAGGGCAGGGGTATGGAGCTAATGGGACAGGTACCAGCCCAGTGCCTCTGGACACAGAACTGCCCACCCCTGGGCCACCACCCACCCATCTGCCCCAGCTGTGGGATTCCTCAGCAGCTTCTTACCCCAGATCCACCCTGGGTCCTGAAGTTGCTGCCAGAACGGCCTTCTTCGAAGACCAGCAGCTCTGCCTTACACAGAGTCCCTCCCTGCCCTGGTCTCCCGTGCTTACGGATCCTAGGCCAAGTTCCCACCAAATGGGGTTACTGAGCCAACTGGCATTCCCTGGGGGGACTTCTGAGTGGCAGGGGGACAACCAGGGGGGCCTGAATGCTTTAAATACAATCTCCAGACCTGGAGAGACACCGTCAGCTCTCAAGAGCAGCCCAGGCCAGCCAAGCAGTTCCCCGCAGCTGCTAGTCTATGGTGGGCTGAAGGACCCTGGGACCCAGTCCCTGTTCTTTGGGGGAACCCAACCCCAGATGTCACCCCAAGGGGCTCTCAGCCTGCCCCCAGCTAGGGTGATGGGAGCCTCTCCCAGTGAGTCCCCTCTTCCCTCACCTGCAACCAACACAGCCAGCAGCAGTACCTGTTCATCCCTGTCACCACCATCCAGTAGCCCAGCCAACCCCAGCTCTGAGGATAGCCAGCAACCTGGACCCCTCAGGACCTCAGCCTTCTTCCTGCCTACCACCCACTCCCAGGAGACCAGCAACCCCTTCCCTTCCCCAGAGCCCTCACACACTCTCCCCACATGCTACCAGTCAGAGTCGGCCAAAGCCTTCCCTCTCCCTACAGAGGGGCCAGGAACTGAGGATGCCTTCAAGAGCCTGGAGGGAGTCCCATTCCCCCACAAGAGCCCCTCATTGGGCAGAGACAGTTTGCAGGGCTTTCCCCCAGAGCCACAGGCATACTCTGCCCAGCACTTCTCCCTGAGCAGCGCCAGCCTGGACCAGCTAGATGTACTGCTAACCTGCAGACAGTGTGATCGCAACTATAGCAGCCTAGGAGCCTTCCTGGAACACAGGCCATTCTGCAGCCTGCTGCTAGCCAAGGCCAAGGATGGCTCCCTGCAGCCCCCAGGTCTCCCTGCACCCACTGCCACCTCAAAGGCAGCCACTGATGCACACTCAGGCTTGCCTGAACACAACCAGGCTGCCCCCTTCCTGCTAACCAGAGATGATCAGGGGGACAGTAAAGATGACTCCCTGAGAACAAGCTTTCTGCCTGCCGGCCTGGCTGTCACCCCCTTCCCACTCCCTACCTCGGATCTTGACATGGAAGATGATGCCAAGCTGGACAGGCTCATCACCGAGGCACTCAATGGCATGGAGTACCAATCAGACAACCCTGAGATAGACAGCAGCTTCATTGATGTCTTTGCTGATGAGGAACCTTCAGGCTCCAGGGGGCCCAGTGCTGGGCAGTCCCTCAACACCCAGGTGGGCACAACTCCCAAGAATGGTACCCAGCCCCAGCTTCCATCCAGAGTTGTCATGCCAGAACCCCAAGTGCCCTCCACTGGAGACAGAGGTTGCCCAGCCCGAAACAGGCCCAAAACCCGCTCCCTAGGCTTGGCATCTGCAGAAGCAGATACAACCACCCTGGTCAGGCAGCAGAGGAGAGGGAAGCAATTCAAGTTGTTTCGGAAAGAGCCAGGTGTGACCAAGGACACTAACAACCCTGCCAGAGCCATCTGCCTAAGGCCAAGGAAGAAAGGTAACAGTGCTGAGCGGTCCCGGCCCCAGAACCGTAGAAGTCGGGCTCGCAAGGGCCATGCTCATGCAGACCACAGCATCCCCAGAGCCACCTCTAAAGAGACCAGGAGCTCCAAGCACCTGCAACTGCCCTCTGGGAAGGACCCCAGAAAAAGGAGGGGGCGAGGTGGCTCCTGGAGCAAGGAGCTCATCCACAAGATAGTACAGCAGAAAAACAGGTGCCACAGGCGGCAGGCACCAAGTGGCCAGGTCTCCCATGCTTCTCTGTTGCCTGCAAGACCACCTAGCACCCAGAAGGGTAGACTCAAGGGGCAAGGCTGTGCCTCCGAATCTGAGAAGGGCGGTGTGCAGCAGCGGGATTCAGGGGGTCCTGTCCAAGACTGTTCCCGCCACAGCTGCCAACGGTGGCGCCAAGGCAAGAAGAGAAAGAAAGAAGATTTGGCCCAGGACCCAAGAAAGGTCATGAAGCAGGAGGCTGGTGAAAACAGAGGCTTCCTGACTCCAAAGAGGACACACAGCCTGTTGCAGAGCTTGGATGCTGGAGAAGTTCCTGTGGAAAGAGGCCCTGAGCATACTGATCACCCCACAGTAGCCCCAGAACATCCTCCACAGGTCCTCACCACCACCAAGACCCAAGAGGAAGCAGCCCTGAGCTTTCCCCAGGAGGTCAAGGAGCCCGAAGCTGTTGCTGAGTTACACCCTGACATCACAGAACTCAAAGAGAGGTCTGGTTGTCCAGCTAGCTGCGGTGGAGAAGGCCCCAGACCTGCTGCTCCAGTGCCAGCACAGGTTGGCAGCCCCAGGCCATTGGGAAGCCACCCTGAAACACTATCAGGAAAAAGCATGCCCGCAACAGATGCAGGCTGTCTGCTGGGTACTCCTGAATGCATTAAGCCCCCCAGTTTGCATACCAGAGAGGACTCCTCTGTTCCCCAGCCTGGAGGGTGCCTGGCACCCATTGATAAGGTACCAGATGCTTTCTACACTGAATCTGGAATCCTGGTTTTCAAGAACTCTGGTTCTGGTTGTGAACCTGACCACTGTGACAGAAACTCTATAGGGTGTCCAACTGCCAAAAGAGGTCCCCTGCCTAACAGTGATACCCCCTGTGAATTGTTCCTTGTATCCAAGGACCTAGCTAACTGTTTCCCTGAAGATTCATGCTCCAAGCCTTTAGCTAGGGACACAGTGCCTGCCAGCAGCTGCTACCTTGGCCAGGATAGTATGGAGAATCTTGAGTCAACACCACCAAAGAATTCACCCTACCCAGTTGAAACAGACCCAGGCAAGGTGCATTCACCACTGACCTTGGAATCCACATCCCTGTTTGCAGAGCTGCCTGAGGATGGATTTGACCCACCACTGTATGAGAGCTTATCTGCAAACAGGGTCACCCATGCACCACTGGTGTGTACTGATCCTCTCCCTAAGAAACCTCTGACAGATCCCCTGTATCCACCATTCTTGCTGCTGGAAGAAGCTTCTCCGGTGCTTCCTGGCCCCTTTCCTGGTCTCTCCCAGGGAAAAGCACCCAGCAAGAAGTGTCCCTTTGAACAGATGGTACCTCCCAGCTCTCCTCCTGTGTCTGAAAAGGGAAGTGACTGTAGTGTTACCCTTATGAGCAATCTATGTGAAGATGAACTAGAGATCAAAAGATTGGTAACTGAATTAGAAAGCCAACTGCAAGGGAAAGGGAGTACACAGGGGGCCTTGGGAGAGCCCCAGGAAGTTGCAAATGAAGGCAGAATGGATGCAAGTCCAAGGCAGGCCTCCCTGCTGCCTACACCTCAGGCCACCTCACCTCACGGAGACATCCTCTCAGCAGCCAACCCCACAGGCCTGGAGGGATCAAGTTCACAGCAGGAAGGGGCCCTCAGGAACCCCCAAAAACAATGGTCCCACCTAGCCTCTTGCCACACAGGCAAAGCAGCACCTCCTGCAGGTGCCCAGGAAGACCCTGGTTCCGGGACTCCTCTCAGTCCTGCAGGTTTCTGCCTCAGTTTTGGGCAGCTGCAGGAGGCCAGCATCTCCAGCACAGACTGTCAGGTCCCTGTAAGTGACCGTTTACCTGACTCCAACAAGCAACAGGCACCCTTGCTCCACGCTGAGAGTTCAGTCAAATACAGCCCAAGCTCTGAGCTTTTGTTTCCTAAAACTAATGAAGCTTCTGTAACACAGGAGAATGCCCCATTGCTGCTTCCTGATAAACATACAAGAGGGCATTCTCCAGACCCTTGTGAGGCCCAGGAGCCCTGCCCGAGTTCCTCTGCACTAGAAGGGTTCAACAGCCCCAGTGCCTATCTGGACCTAGAGCCCAACTTGATGCTTAAGGGTGATGAGGGTGTCACCTCCCCTCCAAGTGTTAGTCCCAGCCATGACTCTAAGGGACACCTCGATGGCCAAGCAGGAAGTCCCATGGGAACTATGCTTACCACTCCCACTGCAAAGGACCCTGACTTTAAGGGTGAGTCTGTCCTTGCAGGGGCCTCTCCACTATCCACCCTCCAGAGTGGCAAGGCTTGGTCCCATCCCATGCCAGACCCTTCCTGGGTGACTTGTGCTCCCCAGGAACCAGCCTGCAACTCCTTTCCTCTGCTCCAGGTCCTGGATGCTAGAGCCGAGAGTGAAGACAATACCCAGGGCTTTCAGCCTGGGGACCCCTCAGAGACCAGTGTAAATGGGGGCTCCTCGGAGGCTGTAAAGATGTCAGCTCTAACTACAGACATCCAAAAGCAGCTGGGATCCAAGGCAGATGGACATCTGGGTGCACCAGGTCAGTCTAAAAAGACCAAGAGCCGAGGTCACGCTAACAGACTTCGGCCAAATAACTGGAGGAGCCTGGGGAACCCAGACACACGCACCAAGGTCAGGACCCATTTGGAAGGTAGGCCGGTCAGGAGCAGAGGGGCACATCATCAGGCGAACAGAGCAGCCCGGGGCTATAGGAAACAAGCACTGCCCTGCACAAGTCCCACCCACCCTGGTGGCACATCCTCCATTTCCATCCTGACAGCATTCCCTCTCCAGATGGAGCCTGCAGAGAGAAGCCCAGAGAAGGCAGCCAGCCCACAACTGCTGTTTAGCCGGGCGAGCCCAGCTCCCTCCAGTAGGGGTCTGGGCACTTGTGTCCTCTCAGCCACCTCCCCAGCCACACCTACTCCCAATGACCTTGAGCCCCTGCCCCAGGAAGACTCTGGGGCCAGAGTCAAGACTGCTGGGATACCAGCACCTTCCTCCTACAGAGACCTACCCATGCCCTGCCATCAGCCACCCTGTGCTGTCTTGGCACCTCTGGGAATGGCTAGTTGTGGCCAAGCCACCAAAGATGCTGGGTCCCTAACAACCCCTACATCACTGATAACAAGTCACTGTGGCTCTGAAGAGACTTTATCCCACCATTCGCTCCTGGGGACCAGCAGTCCCAAAGACCCTCTCTCGGGCCCACTTGGCCCCACCTGTTTCTCAGACCCTGTAATACTTGACAGGGACAGCCCCAAAGGCATCACAGTAAGAACATTAGAAGATTCTGGGAAAGAGGAGCTGAGGACATCTCCTGCCCATGCCACTGCTCCTCCTCCAGGGGGTCCCAGCTCCCCCAAAATAACCATCAAAGCCGGCCCTCTGACTGGCATTCCCACCAAAGATGACCTAGGTTTGGATGAGAGACTTGAGATGCCAGACCCCCACCGCATGGTAGTTCCACCCCTCAGCAGCCCAGAAAGGACATACTGCAAGGACCCTTCCTTAAGGCCCCAGAGCAGCACACCCTGCCCTGGCCACAGGGAAAGCCACAGCATCATAGCTGTGCCCACAGACTTTTCCACACTGGGGACTACAGAACCAGACCCTCAGATCTGCCAGGATGAGGCAGCAACCAGTATGGAGGAGCAGGACAACCCAGAAACACTTGGGGCAAGACACCGTAATGTGCCAAAGGTACCCAGAACCAACAAGCAAGGCGTGCCCACAGGGCTCCGCTTGGCTCTAGCAGCCTCTCTGAGCTGCACAGCCACTGGCTTTAGGTCTGAGTCCCCTCAACATCATATCAGTATCTCTCATCATTCTCCCCAGAAGGACCCTTTCAGCCCTCAAGAGTCTAAACGGAGGCCCCGAGGCTTGACAAAAAAGCCAGAGCCGACAGAGAAGACCCTAGCCGGGCCACTCATAACCTGCGAACTCTGCTCAGCCTCTTTCCTCTCCAGAGCAGGCCTAAGCAGGCACAAAGCCAGGAAGCACCGGCCACACAGGGAGGCTAGCTCCCAGCTGAGCCCCATGATCCTGTCAGCTTGCCAACCTCCAGATTCCATGATCCAAGCGTGCCAGACACCTGGGAAGAAAAGCTGTAAGGTGCTTGGGAAAGGGAGACCAAGTCACTCACCCCCAGGCCCTGGCCACTCTTCTGGGCCACCTCCCCTCCAGGCCTCTACACCACCAGAGGACACCATGGGTCCTGAGATGTTGAAGGTGACTAGTGAGAAATCTGAGGGACCCAAGGCACCAAACAATCCTCTCAACCAGCAACCACACAGCCCAGGCCTGATACAGCAGAAAAAGGATACAAAGGTTCCGACCTCAAAGCCAAGAAGACTGGATGGGTGGCAAGCAGAACAGCTCCACCCCAACCAGGGAGAAATGGGGAGCCAGAGACCAGATGGAGAGCCAGCTGATTCCCCCAGCCACTCAGAGAGGAAGTCAGACAGGAAAGGGGGGACGCTGAGAGAGAGGAGGGAGAGGCATGGTCCTGGAGACACTGCCCATGTGACTTCAGAGAGGGACCTCTCAGACCCACCAGCCACATATGACTACCATCTCATCCACATGAACCTCTCGCCTGAGGGAGAATGCAGGACCTCTCTCGGGCCACCAGATCTATCTCCCACAGAAGCACCCAGAACTCTGGAGGATGCTGCAGACATGGGCACAGAGGCTCTGTGTACAGATGAGATGCCAGCACTCAAGGCCTCCCCAGAGTGGCGAGTCTGCCAAGGGGCGATAGAAAGGGAACTTTCAGAAGAACAGAAGGCAGCCTGGGCACAGTGGTTCTGGGGACCAGGAAAGGCCAGGGCATTGGACATCAGCGGAGAACAGCCACAGGCTGTTGAGAGCCAGCCTGCAGAGGACAGCAGAGGAGCCAAAGGTAGGTCAGACGGAGGCACTGGGAAGGGGACATCTGACTCCCCTGATAGCACACACAGTCTTGAAGTGGACAGCACCGTCAGCAGCTGCTCCCGGAGTCCTATCAGTGACCCAGAAGCCCAGAGTGGAGTTCTGGAGCCCAAGGGCACCACTCCTGAAGCCTCCAGCCCAGGTCCAAGGGAACCTCTGGACTTATTCGATGACGAGGTATCCTTCTCTCAGCTCTTCCCCCTGGATGGCCGCCTCACTCGGAAGAAGAACCTGCGTGTCTATGGGAAGCGTTGCAAAAAGCCAGAGCGCCCACCGCCGGAGGAACCCAGCATGGAGGTGGTAGACAATGCCCCGCTCTTCTCCACACGCTTGCCCACAGATCTCAGTGACTCGGGCTCTCTGTGCCTGTCCCGTGAGGAAGAGGACCTGTGGGATGATGAAGCCCTGAGTTTGCCTGAGTCCCTCCTCCTAGATGGGCTCCTAAGCAGTAAGGCACCTGGCCTTGACCCCTGGGCCCCCAGCTTCACCCTGTGGGCCCCAGAATCCAACAGGGAGGCCAGCTATATGGAGGAAGAGCCCTCCTGCTTTACCGAGAACCAGGACGAGTGGTCGGAGGCCATCCCCCAGCTGCACATGGTCCCAGCAGCCTGGCGAGACCTGGAACTGTGTAGCCCTGCCTGTGAAACACCCTCTTCCCTTGGAGACATGAGCCCGGAGCCCCCTAACCTGGAAAGAGAGCATGATGTTAGGCTTTCCGGTAATGCCAGCCTGCCCCCGCTTTACATTAAAGACTTTGAGGTGCTCAGCACCCAACTAGAGATACAAGACCTGTGCTTTCTAGGACCCTGTGATGACCTTGCTGACCTCCCCAGCCCAGGCATCTTAGACTTCCAGGCCACAGCAAATTCACAGGGGCCTCCAAACAAAAGGATAGAGCAAGCTGCCAGGGCCAAAGGAGGCAAAGGCAGAGACCGGCCAGTAAAGGGAAGGCGGGCCTCCTACAAGTGCAGGGTGTGTTTCCAGCGCTTCCACAGCCTGGGTGAGCTGGATCTACACAAGCTGGCACACAGCCCCTCACCACCCCCTACTTGCTACATGTGTGTGGAGCGCAGGTTCAGCTCCCGGGAGCTTCTCCGGGAGCACCTGTGGGAGAAGCACGTGCAGGGCAAAGCAGGGCCGTGGGCCTGCGGCATGTGCCTGAAGGAGGTGGCCGATGTCTGGATGTACAACCAGCATCTGCGGGAGCATGCAGCCCGCTTTGCCAGAAACGGACAGGCACGGAGAGGCCTGGGAGACCTGCCGGGGTGCTCGGAACGGGAGAGTACTCTCACACACTTCCTGAACAGCATTGTGGAACAAGCATCCAAACCCCAGGGGACTGAGCACTCAGGTGTCAAGGCTGGCAGGGAGGCACTGGAGCAAGGAGAAGCAGGGAAGAAAATCCCAAGGAGAAGGGTGAAGCAAAAGGTGCCCACCACGGTCACTTCCGGCCAAGACGGTGCTTCGCTATCACTCAGCCCGTCAACGGAAGCAGGCAGCCCGTCCGTTCTGACCACCTGCTCTCTCTCTGCCAAGACGCCCCCAACTCCCTCCCCAGACCCTTGGTCCCACAGTGAGTCCCCGCTCCAAGCGGTCCCAGTGCACGAGGATTGCAAGGACCCCTCCCGTGACTGCCACCACTGTGGAAAGCAGTTCCCCAAGCCCTTCAAGCTGCAGCGCCACCTGGCGGTGCACAGCCCACAGCGTGTCTACCTGTGTCCCCAGTGCCCACAGGTCTACCCTGAGCACTGGGAGCTGAGGGTACACCTGGGCCTGACCCATGGAGTGAAAGAGGAGAGGGAACTACCACACATGCCTCTCTATGCCTGTGAGCTCTGTGCCAATGTCATGCATGTCATCAGGAGGTCCTTTGTCTGCAGCTCCTGCAACTACACCTTTGCCAAAAAGGAGCAGTTTGACAGACACATGGACAAGCACCTGAGGAGTGGCCAGCAGCCCTTCACGCTCCGAAGTGTTAGGAGGCCAGGGGCTCCTGGGAAGAAGACCCAGGTCCCCCAGGATATGCTATCCAGCAAGCGGCATGGGGTGGTGGTGCCCGCCAGCACCGACAGAGCCCTGTCCACAGGCAGCCCGGCTCCAACTGAGGGCTGCCCCCCTGCTCTACCCCTGATCCATTCAGAGACAGCTCCTAGCCCCGTCCTGGACCAACCCAGTTCTCAAGAGAGGCCTGTGGACCAGACAGACCACTCACTCAAGGGGAACAACCCACCGTTGACCGGACAAGCCCTTCCACCTCCGTCTCTGTCTCCTTTCCCGGCCGCCTCAGCTGAAGGTACAGGTGACTGCAAGCTTGACAGAGCCTTGGAGAAATCAGAAAATGAGGCTTCCTCGGGCAGCCTTGAGTCATGCAAGTGGCAAACTCCCCCAGGAGAAAAGAGGTCTCTTCACCTGTTCTCAGGAAAACATAGGAGCCTGGGTACCGGAGGCAAGTGTGCCCCTGGCTGTTCCCCAGGAGACCCCTCCCAGCTCCAGAAGGAGAGGCTAGTGACCACACACCACATGGTACCTGAGGGGAAAATAGAGGTTCCCTCCCAGAAAGGAAGTACCACCAAACCAGGGGCCTGCTTGAGTTTTTCCAAGCACGGATCAGCAGTGCCCCCCAGCAAAGTGCTGAAGCTGCCAGCACCACCTAGAAAACCTATAGGGATGGGGACCCCAGCATCTGGAGAGCTGGGCCAGAGTCCTGAGGACAGGGTAAAGCCCAACACTTCTAAAGCTAAACTGAGACCCAGTTCTCAGGTCAGTGGAAGTCTACAGCCTGGTACTCAGACAGGAGGTGGCAGCCAACCCCAGCCAACCAGTGGACAGCTCCAAAGTGAGATGGCCTCCACCCCCAATGAGCCCAGCTGTCCTAGCTGGGGGAGCTCCACCCCTGACCAGCCCCCACCACAAGTCCACACCAAGGGCAGCATCAGGGGGGGCAGAGAAGCTGAACATCAGGGGGTCCAAGTGCATTCAAGTCCCAGGGAGAAAAGAGAAAACAGTGAAAAAAAGAGAAAGGCCCTGGGACTGGCTAGGCATGGAAGCATGGGGAGCATGGGGAGGGTCCCCCTAGCCCCTGACAAGTCATCTAGGGCCCCTCGAAAGCAAGCAACTCCCAGCCGAGTTCCCCCTGTCAAGTCCAGACCCAGTAACCAGAGTGGCAGGACAAGGCCACAGCCATCAGCACAGAAGAAAGGGGACCTGGGCCACACTTCCGAAAAGGGCTCCTTCCCCCAGGCAAGACCCCTGTCCAGGCCATATAAAAGGATCAGAGCTGTCTATGGTGTTGAACACATGGAGCCCCGAGACCACCGGACTGCAGAGGCCCAGAGCGACCTCCTCAGCCAGTTGTTTGGACAGAAACTGACCAGCTTCAAAATCCCTCTAAAGAAAGACAATTCCCAGTAACCCACAAGAGAGGGTGCCTGGGGGCCAGTTGATAGACTCCTGTCTGGCCTTCAGAGTTCCAGGCAGCTCGGTTTGAGACCACTCTTCTGTTCCTCTGCGCCTGGCTTCCCACAGACTATCCAGCAGATTAGAGGACTGAGTGTGTTCCTGGAAGCAGGGCTCTGGGCTGGAAGACTGGGGTTGAGGGAAGGGCCAGCCTGAACCCCCCTGAAATCGTTCACCTTCCTTGGCACTAAGTCCTTAGAGAAAACAGTTCACATTCCATCACTGCCACCATGCCCTGGTGCCGGGTGCCTCGTGCTGTAAAACTTGTGTTTAAAGGTTTGCACAGGGTCCCCCATCTCCTAGCAGGCCAGCACATCAAGACAGTCAGCCTGACAGTAGCAGCTGCCTCGTCTTGCTGCTGTTGCTAAGATTCCAAAATGACCTTAGAAGTCACATGGGAGAGGACCATGCTCTCTACTTGGGCCATTTCTGAGCCATCTGGTCCTTGAGAGCACGACAGGACCATCCCCCTCCCCCCACCACCACAAAGTCATGCTGGCCTCCAACTGTACTGCTGATGTTCCCAGCACCTTGCCCGCAGGGACTGGGTTCCTATAGGAATGCAGAGAAAGACGCACCTTGGCCAGTGCCCAATGGATCCCTCAGCCCTATGGCCCATTCCTAGTGCCTTCCTCCCCCATGGGGCTCTGTCTTTAGGCCCCAGAAAGCCTGATCCAAAGGTTCTGGTGCTATTCCCACGCTGTAATGTGAATACAGGCTCCCTGGTCTTATTTGAACCATGGGATAATTAGATTGGGGAGACCTAGCCAGGGAGGCTATAGCCCAGGCCTTGAGCCTCACAGGTCTCCCCAGTTGAGTTCCAGTCCCAGGGTCCTAGCAGTGAAGGGACCCTCAAGGCTGGGCTGTGGGTGTGGTTTGTCCACTGGCATGACTGCCAGCTGCACACCTGCCAAGATAGCGTTGTGTATCAAAATGGGCAGGAGGAGACGCTTCCCATTTCTGCTAGGGAGTCTCAGAGATTCCTGGCTTGTTTTGTTGTGTAGTTCTTAGCTTGGGTGCAATGTGAGTGTCAAAAGGTTTTATTTTGACATTTTAAACAAGACCAAATCAGGCCCAAATTGCCTCTGTAGAAGGTGCTGGGGTCTTTCAGAGTGCCTCTTTCACATGGATACAGACGTGGGCAGGGGGCCCCTGAGGTCATACTGTAAAAGCCACAGCTAACTCGTCTTTTCAAATATATCCCACTATTTTCGCAGAAATCTCTTGGCTCTGTGGCATCTTTCGTAGCTCCTGCTTCTCATTGGAGCCCATATGTGGCTCAGGAAGCATTTGCTTTGATGGTCATTCCCCGGGGCCACTGTGTGCTATGAACCAAGCCAGAGTTGGGGACACTTAAGGTAGGACCCAAGAGGGACTGAAGGGGAATAGGAATCCTCTAAGGTGGATTTAGGAAAGCAGAGAAGTGGATAAATGGCATAAAGAGGCCCAGGGAGGGGCAGGGAAGGGATTTGACCAAACAGGGTCATTGCTAGTATTGTTTGGGCCAGCAGTGCTCAGGGGAGTGGCTTGTCTGGTTTGGATCTTTGAAAAGGTTTGAAGGGTCCCAAGTGGAGACCCAGTAGACCAACAAGATCCCCTGGCCTGGCCTGTCCTTCATCTCAGGAGGGTTCAGGGACACCCTAGTTAGCAGCAGCCTAGGGTTAGGGTTGAGTGTCACAGACTGGTGGAACTCTGCCCTCTCACACACCCTCAAGAGCTGACTTTAAGGGCAGTTCCTTGGAGACATAGGTTGTACTCAAAGCTTGACATGAGCATGCCATCCTGTGACCCATAGACGCACAGAGGGTATAACCCTAGCCTGACCACCAGGTGGCAGCATGCACCCAACTAGGGAGCCTGACTTGCCACCAGAGCACAAAGGCAGCCCTCAGGAACCTAGTGGGCCTCAAAGTGCTGTGGACAGAGCTAGGGATTACCAAATGCCAATGCATTCAGGCAACAGGTACCCTGTCTGTACCAACGGGCACACACTGCACACATGGCCCCACACATGCGTTTTCACATATGTACAGACACTCTCTGAAAGCGCACCTGCTCAGCCTCTAGGACACATCCAGGTGCCCACTGCCTGCCCAGCAAATACCCTGATGTATATGATTTAGGATGCATCTGGCAGTCAGGGAGCTGGCTCTAGAGGAGCCCTGGGTAGGATTCCCTGAAGAATACATTGAGATAAGTGTCAAGGAACAGTGAGCTACCCTGAAGGGGGACTGCAGAGAGCCCCAGCCCTGGGAATTATCAGAACCACTATCAAAAAAACCTTTCCCTTGTCGTCAGGCAGGGCCACTTCACCCCCGAGGCTTTGAGGCCCCTCCTGGCTGCCATGCCCTCCCCCAGGAGCTGCCTCAAGGGGAGGTGTATACAGACTATAGCTTTCCACAGTATCTATTATAAGTCCCTAAGTCTATCTCAGCCTGCCTAGGGAGGAGGGTAGGAGAGATGACTATGTCCAGGATCAGATGGAGGACAGGCAACAGGTGGGACCTTTGAGTCTCAACTGGGGGCCAGAGGTTCAAGAGAGCCACTAGCAGCATAGAGAGTAGCACGTGGCATTTCTATGGGTTGAGCCCATTATCTCTGGGGAGTGGAGGCTGGAGGTTCATGGAGATGTCAGCTGTCGTGTCTATCATGGCTCCAGGGAAGGACCTGACTGGGGCAATGAAGAAATGAAGAAAAGGCAGACACAGAAAGAACTGGGTTCTGGTGGCCTAGATTCTCGGATGGAGAAACACAGCACCCCGGAAGCTCAGTGTGTCTTGTTGTATAGAGGTGGACAGAGAGGCAGGGTTTCTGCACACAGCTGAACAAAGGGGCGGGGTTTATTGCGCACAGCAGGATGGAGGAGGCAGGATAGTCTCAGGAGAAGTGGTCTCTGTAGGAAAACAGTCTTCAGACTGAACATCCACGGGGAGAAAGCTACGGTGGCCATTTTCTACACACACTGTCAATGTCCACAGGTGGCCAGGAAGAGGAGGCTCTGTGTTTCCCTCAGGTCTTGACATGGATGTGCCCATGTCAACAACACTCGGGCCTTCCCCTGCTTTCCCACAGGCTGCTTTGAATACCGCCTTTGCTTGACTTGCTGTGGGGCCTTGCAGAATCTGTGCTCCTGTGGGAAGGGCAGGACTGAGCCAGGAAGTTGGCTCTGTCGACAAAGGCACCTACTGTGCAAGCCTGGTGACCTGTGTTCAGTCCCCAGAGTCCACATAAAGGTGGAAGGAGAGCCGACTCTGGTGTCTCTGGTGTTCTCTGACCTGCACACACGTGCACTGTCAGACAACAATAAAAAGGAAGGAGAGAGGGAGGGAGGGAGGGAGGGAGGGAGGGAGGGAGGGAGGGAGGGAGGGAGGGAGGGAGGGAGGACAGGATCCGGAATTCTCCTTTAGGGGAATAGAAGCTGCCCAGGTATGGGAGGGTGCAGTATAATGCTATGTGCCTGTGGCTGGGTTCCTTGTGGTGTTCCCATGAGGCATTGGGGCTTGTAGGTTCCAGAGGCTGCAGGAAACCTACACTTGTCCATTTGGGCCAGGCAGACCCAGTTGGAGCCTACAGATTCTCCCAACTTCCAGCAGCTGAGGTGAGTGAAACGGGACCTGCTCCAAGCCACAATCCCCAATACCCTGGGGGTGGGACATCATAGTCAGGCAGACACAATAAGACCTGTACTGTTGTCCTCCCGGTATGCAAGGGAACCCAAGGTCACAGGCCACTTTCACATAGAGCACTGTCTGCCTCCCAAGCTGCTGGCATGGCCTTGAGTGAAGAAGCCCAAGACCTCGGTCTCCAGTCCCGTGAAGGCAGGGAGAAGAGGCGGGAGTAGTCCACCTTGGCCCAGGGTTTCACTGAGAATGGATAAACATCCCCTCGGTCTCCATTGTCCAAGAGCCCCAGTGCTGTTTCTGGGGCCCCAGGAAGAGAGCATGTGACTGCCGCGGTGATGAGAACAGCAAGATTTGCCTGTTTCCTCCAGCCCTAAATGGGTATCATGCTCAACACACATCCTGGAGCCCTGGGACTCAGCAGCTCTGTCCTCAGCCCAACCCCAGATGGAAGGCTGGCTGGCACAGAACATGGGGAGCTCACGACCAGGTCCTGGGCTTAGATGGGCTCCGTAAGATCTCCTGAGAGACTGTCGCTGGGAGGAAATGGTGTTTGTGAGTTCGGGGCTCGCCCCCATGACAAGAACTCACTGCAAAGAGAAAGCAGACACCACCGCTGGGGTTCTCCACACTGCTCCTATTGCAGGCCCCAGAGTGACATCGCTGTAGCTTCCACAGTCCCCAGCTGGCCAGGATGGGGCCCCGCCCTTGCTGTGGAACAGGACATAAGACAAAGGCCACTGATGATCCTCTATGGAGTCTGGGGTGGCTAGAGTACACAGAGGCAGCAAGCCAAGAGCAGTTTTGAGATCCAGCCAGGTGATACTGAACTTCTTCCAGCCCTACTAAGCCACATGGGGGTGGCTGGGTCCAGCTTTGCACTTGAGGTCCTATCCCAAATGGACTGTCCACTGCTTCTCTAGGACATCTGTGTCAGGCAGACCTCCCTCCCCTCTATCTGAACACAACTGAGGGTTACAAGAGTCCCTGAGGACACGGGGCCTCTGTCCATGTCTGAAGCCACCCCAAGAATCTTGGCTCTCATTTTCACCAAGGACTGTTCAAAGGACCTCATGGTCACACCAGTTGTGAAGGCATCTCTTTGAGTGGCATATTCTGGCACCTGGCAATCTTCCAACCTAGCCTAGCAGGGTTCTTGTGTATTGCCTTAGTTCTGCTAAGGGGTACAGGCAGATACACAGCCTTCCTTGGACTTCTTGTCATAAGCATATATAGGAGCCACTGCATATTAACATCCAACCTGGTTATAGCTGGCCGTGACTTGAGTTCCTTGGCACCTTGTGTCCCAAGGTCCCCATGTGTAAAATATGGCTGAAGACCCTGGATATCCAGCCAGGCCACGTCACAGCCCTCATCTGCAGCTGGCCCATGGCTGGTGCCGAGTGCCCCACTCAATACGTGATTGCTGCCCTTAACTATGGCCCTAGTAGTCAATGCTGATCAGGAAGGATTCAACATGGATGTTGGCTCTGGGCACTGACTAAGCAGGTCCTGCTTCTGCCTCCCCTGGCCTCACGCCAGCAGCTGCAGTCAGATGAGGGGGATGAAAACCGAAGCAGCCTTCCTATCGACGTCTACCTCAGGCCAGTCCATTGCCCCAGGGGTTGAGAAGCCTGCACAGTCATCATCCTTGCCGACTTTCCATTGGCTAAAGCAGATCTTGTGGCCAGAATGTGAGTGCAACTAGGAGGGCTGGTAAGTGTGGCCTGCTCAGCCTACACCTGGCCTCCCCTAGGTATCCAGCTCCTCCCTTACCTCCTGTCTTTATTCTGGTCAATTTATCACTAGCCTCCTCTAGCCACAGCTATGCTAAGGAAAGCCTGTGAGTCAGCTTTGCCTTACTACAACAAAATACCTGAGGCAACCATGCAGTCAAAAAAAAGAAAGAAAGATCAAGTGATCAGATCACCTAAAATAGCTGGAATTACTGGCAGATTGGTAGTGGTGAGCCTATGGTTAAAAAAAAAAGAAGAATCGGGACGTAGGTGGCGCACGCCTTTAATCCCAGAACTCGGGAGGCAGAGCAGATCTCTGTGAGTTCGAGACCAACCTGGTCTACAAGAGCTAGTTCCAGGACAGCCTCCAAAGCCACAGAGAAACCCTGTCTCAAAAAGCAAAAAAAAAAAAAAAAGAACAAAACAAAACAAAAAGAAAAAGAAAAAAGAAAAAGAAAGAAAGGCTCCAATTCGCTCATAGCTCCAGAGTTCAGGGCAAGCACCTGCATCCACCCATTTCTGGAAGATAATGGGTAGGGGGGACACCCCTGGCCAGAGATCATAGAAGAAACAAAATTCCATTGTTGATTAGGAGCAGAAAGAGATCAAGAGGAGATAGGGACTCCCTGTCTGCTTGAGTGCAGATCCCAGTAACCAAAGGGCCTATACTGAAACACAATTTGTAAGGTCTCAGCACCCCTGAACATTGCCACATAAGAAAAACTCCAATATAGGAATTGGTGAGAGACTCGGCACTCCAGCACCCCCATGGGACCCCAGATACAGCGGATTCCCAGCAGGACACATATCCCACCCGTTGCATTTAGTCTTCAAGAGCTCTCATGGAAGTAGACACCTGCCCTT